CCGATTGAAAAGAACCCATAAGGAAAAAAAATTGTCATGACGTGCAAACTAATATCATTATTACTACTAGCTGTAGTAAAGTAAAACACAATGCAATCAATGTTCAATTCACAGAGTCCAAGTAATTAAAACATAAATAAAAACAACCCATCAAGAGTCAGTTCAAGTGAAAATTACATTCAGAAAATATCCTTGAATGTTCCACCAGAAGAAAGACAGGTGGCATTTTAAGTTAGCTACTCTCTGCAAATTATTAGGTCAACTATTTATACAGCATTTATTATTATTATTCCCTATTTATGTCCCAGCAGCATTGCCTGTACAAGTTCCTAATGAAGAAACACTTGATGCATAAGGAAGCAATAACCGTGCTCTGTACGGAGTGTAGTTCTTATGCCAAAGAAAAAGGTGTTTTTTAGTTAATTGCATGTTGGGGAAATTTGTTGTTTAAAACAATGCTGCATGTCTCCTCCCTCCCTCTGCAAATTGCCAGGTTACTGCCGTGTTTCCTGTTGAACAGCAATTATACATAATTTGGTCCTGAGCTTTCCACCGTTGTCCTTATGGCACGAAGGTCACAATTAAAAATGTTCATGTTGATTGTAGGTATGTCTTAATTGCTGAAGGCTTACACATGTAATAAAGTCATTCAGAACAGCAGCAGCGTCTAGACTTTTTGGATCAAAACATTACAAACCACCAAAGTTCTGTAATCACTAGTGAAAACGGCATCTCCAGAAATCTCAGCCAGCTCCTCCGCTAGCGGGAATGAGCATTGTTCCTCCGTCACCGACGGCAATTGACTGATTTATACCACCTGATCCATTTGTTTCCCAAAGGATAACTAATTTATTGGGGAAGAAAAATAATCACAAATGCAGCACATCAATGGCTGTTAGGAGTTTGCTTAGCAAAAATGCAGCTACTGTAATTACACCCAAGCATGTCAGCCTTACAGATTCAAATTAACTTAACACTTTGGTATTCAGATATTCAGCTGGTCATATTTATCTCAGTAATCAGCAACACCTTTTGTTGTGGTCTTAGGACTTGATCCTGACATCTTTACTCACTAGAGCAACATTTGCTCCCATGAGTAGCACTGAGTGGAATAAGATTGCTCATATAAGAAAGGCAGGAACTCCACCTTATTTATTAAACTGGTTATCTGATCATCAGGTACCTTACATGATGTAGTAGTACTTTTAGTGGACAAATATTCCTAGACCCTCTATTCCTACAAATTCCACAGCAATTGCCTATCACAGCAATCTTCCCTGGCCAAGAAGCTGGATTTATTTTAGTAGTGGTAGGGCTTGTAGTAGTAGGTGGTGGTAATAGCAATAGTATTTAGCTTTATATTCACGCTAAAGGCTCAGAGCAGCTTACAATAAATAACGCACAACTCATAGAAAGAAACAACAGCAGACAACACCCTCAAACTTGAAAAACTCTAACCCACCCCACCCTATCCCGTTCCCATTTCCCTGTTACCCTTAAGGGCAAACCCTCTGGCTTATTCCAGCCATGCTTCCCAAACCCCATTCACATCTAGATATAAAGAACCTCTTTGGAGCTCAACATGTCTGAGTGACCATGTGAGATTGCTTAATAATATTCCACGCACACCACCTGTGAAGTTGAACTGGGAACATTACAAAGCGATTCAACAAATACAGTGCTGTTTTTACCTTTGCAAATTGTCACGTTCTCATACACACCATGTTCCCCCATGTAAAACAAAAATCTTGTTTTGGGGAAGACAGAATGAAGAAGAAAAGATTTTTGAAGCGCCACAGTTTCATAGAACAGGGCAGAGCCTAATGTTCAGGTCACTCACCCTCCCTTCCCTGCATAACCAAAAGCTGAAACCCTAGCTACTGCTGAAGATTGGTGTACTACTATAATTTTGAAAAGAGCCAAGAATTCTGCAAGGTTATGAAATAGGAGAAGAAAGACCAGGAGTACCTAGCAGACAGCAAAACTCCCAGAAGAAAGGTTGGCTTGATTAGTGGAACATCCAGATCATTAAAAAGGAGAGACAGCTGTAAACACCTGTGGAGTGGAGAACAACGAGACATTAAATCAACCAAATCCCTCAGCTACCTGTATAGGAATGCTACGTTTGCTGCTGGTCACTTGGGTTTGAAGCAGAAATCAAAGTGGACTGCTTCTATTCTGGGCAGAAAATTAGCTTCACTGCTTAAAGTGTGCACCTCAAATTGGGGTTTTGGAGAAAAATGGCGTGTGGTATGCAGGAAAATACAGCATCTGCAAAGGTACGGTGACATTGATAGCTTCACTCTTTATCTGTAAAACTCACTGCTTCATTAGTGTAAAAATAGTGTCACCTTATAAACTGGTCCCCACAGGTATTTTCTTTTTGTGCTGTGCAGCTGGTAATCTAAGTCATATGGGTGTTGTTTCTGTCTCCTGACTGGATGACCTCAGCTGCAAAATGCAATATTTCTGGAGGCTAGATGGCAAAGGGGATGCCTTGATTGAGGGAGCAGCACAAGATAAGCAGGCCTAAACATTTTTAGGACACTTAAAAATCATCTCCGGATCTCTTCTCCACAGGAAAGAGAAACGTGTACTTACCTGCATCAGATACATAGATATATGGATGCAGTCCCTTCGTGACTATAAGGGAGAGGGAATAATCCTTGTCTCCTATGGAGCACTTTCCCACTGTGGATCTGAAAGCATTTTACAAAGGAGATCAGGCTTGTTAGCTCTATTTTGGAGAAGGGAAAACTCATGCATATGGAAGTAAAATGACTTGCAAGCAATCATCCAGGAGGCCAGAGCTAGGAAAACATCCAGGTCACCTAAGTCACAGTCTAAGGCCTGACATGCATAGATTGTAAATGCCCTTGTAGTAAATGCCAGCTGTATGCATAAGACCTGACCCAATTCCCAATAAAGTCAATGGAAAGACCCTGATGAGGGACCAGGCCCATAATGAATTAGCATGGTATCTGTAGTCACAGGGTAAGCAGGCCTTTCCAGAGGGAATATGTTTTCTCCCACTACAGACATTAGCACATTTTTAACACGCCCCGCAGCAGCATACAGTAGCTTTGTCCAGTATGGTCCAAATGCAAGCATGGGTCTTCGGAGGCACAATGCATCATAATAACCACCACCATGACCTACCTTTTTCAAAACTTAATGCTTGAAGGATGCCATCCAAATTTCTGTTTTTAAAGCACATATATTTTAGGCCTTCATTGAAATATTTTTGGACACTAAAATAAAATAAATGTCCAAGGAAGACTAGTCACAGAGCAACTTTTTCACAAATGGACTTTGAAGCCCAGGGGATCCTATCGTTCTTTACCTCCCCCTGGGCAAGATGCGGTTTCTTTTCTAGCTGGGAGAACTTTTCCAACCTTTGAATTCTCCTCTGCCTGATGAAAGGTGTTTGGGCCTGAAAGCTTGCAAAAACAGAATTTTTTTTGCTACGATTTCGTTTACCTAATAAAAGATATCACTTCTGCCTAAGAGTTTTGTCTGCCTCTGCTTTTTAGACAAACACAGCTACAACCTATATTCCTGAAACTAGGAAGACGAATATGTGCAGCTAGAAGCTGGCTACTGCATTTAAAAAAAAAAAAAAAAAAGGTATTCAAAATGCTGATGGAACCAAATCAAGACCTTTCCCATTTTTGTCATGACCTCCCTGCCCCTGCACGAAAAAAGCAACAAAAAAGAATGAACTCCGGAAAAGTATTCCACCCTCAGTCCCTAACCCTCAAAATCTTACACATTTTTCTAGTTGGTGTACAAACAAATTAAACCACTGCCATCTTGGGGCATCATTTCACAATGCAATTGTCTGCTCCAGCCAAACCCGCTTGGCCCCAAATCGGGAGAGCTCAAGAGCTCCTACTCCCCTGCTTGTTCTTCCCAAGGTCTCACAAGAGGGGCTGGGTCCAAGTCCTAACCCACCCTCCTTGCCCGGGTCCTTACCAAAGCTTAGTCTGGGTATGTCTTGGGAATCATTGAATTCTCCTTAGACTGGGAGGAAAGAAGCAAGCCACTTCCTTCTTCCCCCTGAAAAGCCCAATGTGGCTGTGTCTCTCTGCTTAAATTCCCGGGTGCAAAGCCAAAACACACCCCCTAATGGGCTTTACCACCACTACAATCCATCTTGGACCTTACATCTAACAGTCTCAGGAGCCTATCTGCCCTTTCACTGGTTTTGCATAAGCAGAGAATATATTGATGACCTATAATGCTTTATCCCACCAGCAACTGACCCAGAGACTGCCACCTCTGTTGACATATAGCCAATTTGTATTGACTACAGTCAGGGTACAATCCTGAACCTCCAAAGAGCCAACCCTAATCAATCTATTTATTAGCCAAAGACAGACTTTTTTTTTTTTTTTTTTTAAAGTCATAGCAGTTTCTTCTCATTGGGAGGTAACTGTTATGACTCCAAAATAGATGTTCAAATGTACCTTGAAGTATCTATATCCTACCTGGTTAACGACATACAGATGACAGGCGGTTTCCATGCCTTTTTGAAACTCATTTTGACCAAGTTTTACCTTTGGATCCAGGCACAGAAACAAGTTTCTGAGGTAAGTTAGAGTGTGAATTTACAGCATGCCAGCTAGTCCACGATAACTGCTTACCTTCTTTGATGCTTGCACTTATCCCAGGGTAGCACTGTGCACACGGCAGCTACCATGAAGTACCAGGTGCGATACTTACAGTTTGGTCAGTCAGCAATCATTTTATTTTATTGATTTATTTTTGTTTGAACTTATCAGACAGATGACTTTTCTAGCAAGGCAGGGCACTGAGATCAGTTTTTATAAATGGGTTGGTTTTTATGAGTAAGTACTATATTTACTCTACCCCACACACATTTCCACCAAAAATTTGCCTTCCAAAACTGGGGTGTGCATCTTCAATAGGGAAAATTATTTTCTACCCAGAAAGAAGCACCCCACTTTGATTCCATCGCCACCCAACATTTGAAACCAATGGCTCAGCAGCAGCAGTGGCATTTCTATTCAGGCAGCTGAAAGAGTCAATTGACTTAATGACCCGTTGTTCTTCACTCTACAGGTGCTAATGACCACCTCTCTTTTATAATGGTCTTCATGGTTCTCTAATCAATCCAACTTTTCTTATAGAAATTTTGCTATCTGCTAGTTACTTCCAGCTTCTCATATCTTATTTCATAGCCTTATAGATAGCTTTAGGTGCTTTCAAATTTGCAGATCTGTCCACGGAGACCACTCTTTAGCAATAGTTACAGCTTGAGCTTCTGGCTGAGTAGAAAAGGGAGGGTGAGCAAGCTGAGAATTAGGATTTCTCCTTCCTTTGTGAAATCAGAACTCCAGAGAAATCATTTTTTCTTCATTCTGCCTTTCCAAAAACCACAGTGAGTGTCTTATTTAGGGGGGTATTGCACATGAGGAAATATGGTATTTTTTTTACCCCAGGCTTTTAATGTTAATGGAAAGTGTTTACTTACAACTGTTACAAGTGTCAGCTAAGCTGGAAAATGATAAATAAATTCACTGCTGCTTTACAGACATGCTTCCCATCAAGCCTTTCATCGTTGTGTTGGGACAGCTCAGCACTCTTGACGACATGCAGCAAAATGTAAAGATGACTGAAGTCCAACTGATCAGTTGCTAACTTAAAATGGATTTAAGGAACCATCTAACAGTCACACATTGAATATTGAAGTCCAACTGATCAGTGGCTAACTTAAAATGGATTTAAGGAACCATCTAACACTCACACGTTGAAAATCAGTATCAATCAATTTCAGATCATCAGACAGGTGCTGTATACAAGACACCAATCTTTTAAAGCCATCTTTGCTTGTTGATTCAGTCATGGTAGTAGTTACTAGGCCCTGCAGATGCCATCCTATGATGAATTAATTTATTCAGAAGTGTGTTTTCCCGACACTGGATAGAGGGGAGGAAGACAGAGAAGGGGCAAGAGAAAGTGTGAAGGAGGAAAGAGAATACTGCATCCTCTGACTGTGATTTCAAAAGAGTTGTGCATCCTTTGGTTGTACCACGGGAGATGTAAGACAGGCAGGCGGTTATCCTGGATATTCGATAGTGTTTTCCTGACAAGGTTTTTATAAGTAGTGGTATATACACAGGCTCAAAGATGCTCTGTCAAGTATAAGGAAGGTAGAGAGCAGAAAATCTGTGTCTCCCATGCAGCTCTTCAGATCTGACAGCTAGATCCTAGCACCTTTTCAAAGACAAGCAAGCTCAACGAATTAGCTGGCTACCAGGGCTGAACTTTTCACCAAGCAAATGTTGACCAGGTCCCACTAAATATGCATGCCTCTACATTTGCATATGTACATCAAGCAACTGAATACACAGCTGGATACTTGCATATGCAAATACCACATTGTACAAGCAGCACCTCAAGTTGCGAGCACAGATGAGTTTCTACTTTTTGAGAAAAGGGGTCCCTGCCTCCTCCATAGCGCAAGAGGATGGCTACGATGACATTGCAAAGGGTCACTGATGACTTCACCACATCCTCAGGAGTCCTGGACGCAGCCCTTGCCCGTCTCAGTGTTCCCACATCGCAAGCTGCCTGCCAGCCGCTCTGTGAGCATGTGCTTTCTGCAAGAAAAAGGAAACTATTTATTGTCTCGGGCAGCGCAGAATCGCAGCAGACACCGTCTCGTGTCTGCTCTTCATGCGTGACTGGCATGAGTCCCACGGCTCCGTCGCTGGCTGCCAGCCAAGACCAGAGTGGCGTGCACCTGTCCCTGCTGGGCGACCTGGAGACCCCGAGTTGCCCGAACTGTTAGTTCTTTTCTAACATCACGTCTACTCGAATTTACCTCAGGATTTCCCCCCTCTGGGTGCCAGGGAGCTGCACTGCTGCCAACTGCTTTGCCATGGATAAGGCAAAGAACATTCCCAAGCTGCACCTTGGCCCCCTCAAAGCATTCGGCTGTAGGCTGGATGGAGCAGATGGGGCCCAGGAAGGCGGCCGCATCCTCGACACGTCGGCGAAATACCCTAGCATCATGATGTATGCAGGCAGGAGAGCAGGGCTGGTCCCAAACATCCCTTAAAATGCAACCCAGGGCATGAGTGGATGAGAGCTCGCCTTGCTGAAAGCTCTCAACCATGGGCAGCCTGCTCTGGATCAACCTCAAATGACACCAGCACCGTCAGTGGAGGTTCAACCTCTCGGGCACACACCAGATCGGGGCTCCCGGGTTTCTCAAAAGGGTTTATCTTTCCACAAAAAGACTGCAGCACTGCCCTTTCACTTTGCATAGCACAAATGAGGGGGCTGCAGTGCTCTCCGTGGCCGCAGTCATGCACCTTATGCCCTCATCATCCCTCCACCCCGAGTTTGTGCTTATGATCGATGATAACATTTTGCCCTTGCATAGTGCTTCCACATGTGGGCCTGCGCACACTTCACGGGCTGTGCCCTTGGGCAGGAGAGGAGGATAATTGGCTGTATTTGAGAAATGAGGTAGAGGAGGCACATAGAGAGGAAGAGTCTCAGCAAATGTGCAGGGCTGAAGCGAGAATAAAACACAAGTCTCCTAACACGCAGTTCTGCATCTTACCCATAAGATCATCTTCCTTTCATCAGTGTATGGCAACTTTTCCTTTTGAAGCAGCACCAACGAATGCTTGATGAGTTGTTTTCCTATTACCTTGACACTGGCTTTGCATCATTCATCCTCTCACATTCTATTAGAGGGACATTTTCATTTAGCTTTAACAAAAAACAAGTCTATTCAATATAATCTTCACAAAAACTTGGCAGACTGCATGACACCCTTCTTGGTTCTGTGAAATTCTGCAGATAGGGAGAGGGAGGAAAAAAAAAAAAAATCAGTAAATTCTTTAGCTAAAAAGAGACAAATCTCATTACATAGACCTCGGTTTGAATGGATGGATATTGCAAATCAAAAGGGAACCATAGTAGTTGAAAGAAACAGTGGCTGCTCTCTGATCAAAAAGACAGGGAGCTTGGGTTTGTCCTTCAAGGCATTGGTCTGAGGATTAGGAGAACTGGGTATAGCTCCCAGTTCTGCCACAGGCTCCCTGTGTGACCTTGGGGAACTCACGTGATCCTTTTGGGCTTGTCTGTACCACAGTGGCGGTGGGTACAGGCTGGAGGATCCACCTGCTACCTGCAGGCACACTCCAAACCCAGAAGTACACCAATGAGACCTCTCTGGGCTCATCAGCAGCAACTGCTCTCAAGCACATATAACCTGGGTATACCGGAGTGTGTACCCCACTTTCCAGTAGAAAGGGATGGTTAGCAGGGCATACATGCTGGAGATGGAAACTGCAGCTTGCTCACAGCTTTCCCTTCTCCGGTGTCTCTATAGTGGAAGACCAGGACACAATATCTTAATGATATAATATGGCTTATTCATATGCAGAACAAAAGGGCAGGGGATAGAATAAACTGGATGGGTGATAAAGGTAAATATTTACATATAATACATTTAACAGAACAGGTAAGTATAGCACTCCCCAAGGCCCACAAGAGAAACCTCACCCATGGACCCTCGAAGGGTAAGTATGTCCCAGCACTTGATGGGTAAGGACCCCCCGAAATGTAAAGCACAATAAACAGTTAATAAACTCTCCAGAACAGAAAACACAACAAGCAGTTAATAAACTCTCCAAAATATAAGATGCAGCAAACAATTAATGAACACTCCAAAATGTAAGGCGTGGTAATCCCAAATACCCCGCTCCTCTGGAGGAGTCTCTCTCTCTCTAGCCTAGACCCCCTCTGATGGGGCTATCCACTGTGTCCCTCCACGGTGGGAAACCCCTTCCCTGAGAACTCACGCTTCCTGGTGAGTAGGGGTCCAGCAAGTCTTCCCGGTGTTTCGTCCCCAGCGAGGCAAGCAGCTCCTGCAGGGAGTGCTCCATCTCAGCACCCACGTGGGGTGTGCGGCTCATTCACGTGTCTGGATGGCTTGGCCTTCTCAGCAAGTTGCCACCTCGTGCATGCCCAGGGCCAGGGCTCCAGTACAGGCCTGCCACGCTGTGGAGCCCGGCAGCAGGGAAGGGGGCCCGAACTGCCCCCTGCCCCTTTCAAGGGCCCTTGGCCCAACAGCAGCGTCTGCACCGGTACTGGCCTCGTGCCGGGGCTGGAGACCCGAGCTGCCTCAAGCGGCTCCCAAGGTCCCGGTCCCTCTTGGACCCTCTGTGCAGAGATGCCTGCACTGTCCGGCCTCGCGCCGGGGTTGGAGACCTGAGCCGCTGCGAGTGGCTCCCAAGGTCCAGGTCCCTCTCGGACGCTCCCTGCAGCGACACCTGCACCAGCTCTCCACGCTCTCGTGGTGAGGGGCTGGGGATGCGGCTGCCTGCTGCTCCCGTCCGACGACAGTCTTCAGGGTAGCTCTTCCCCGGCTTCTTCTTTCTTCTTCCTCCCCCTCGTGCTGTGCACGCAGCTCCTTATATACCCCGTTGGGGCTCCGCCCCAAGATCGAAGACCGGCCAATTGGGGGGAGGCAGAGTGCAGTCTTCAATTAGGTCCGCTCCTCACCCTGTCCCGATGTAGGGATGCGGCAGCCTCCTCCCGAGGCTCCTCCCCTGCTGGTCTCTGATTGGTGGGTCTGCCCCATCAAGTGCTTTGGCAATTCTCTAAGCCCGAGGAACCGGGTGAAGATAGGCAGGCCTGCCACACACACGAAAGGCTGAAAGCTCAAGAGCAGCCTCACAGACATGCCCCCTGAGGGCCACTGCTAGCACAGTTGAGGGTTTAGAGGCTGTATATGGGTGCCAGTGGGCCGCGCGTGGACTGGTCCCTACTGGGTGGGACATGCTGCTGACATGGTGAAGACCAGGTCTCTGTAGTAAAATGACATTTATTTGTAAAACTACAGGAAAAAACGTTCTCTTCTCCTCTGTCCTGGCAGTCTGAAGTGCAAGACCGCCATGGCAGGGGCTCTCTCTCATATGACGGTAAACAGTGTCAAGAACAAAGGAAGGTCTCTCCCAGACTCCACCGGACGACAAGCAACACAAAAGAAATCTGCACCTTACCATTTTAGAAGTCAATGAACATTTGTAATCAACTTCAATGCATGCACAGGAGAAAGCCCAACAAGGCTTCAGCATGTATCATCCTAAGGCCCATCAGTTACATGCTACTAGAGCTAGAAAAAAGTCAGACATTACCAAAATAAGTTAGACTGTCAAGGAAGAGGAAATGGACTCCATCGTAATTCTGGCATCCCTCCTCCAAGGAGGAAGCCTTGAGTGACCTGCAAGCAACAAAGTGAACTAGCTGTAACAGCAGCAGCCAGGGCCAGTACAGATTAAACTGATGAACCAAAATGACCCACCCATCCATCAGGGCACCCAACACCCAGGGAAGCCCCTACCAAATTAACTAAAATGACTTTGAGATTTACCCAGTCTGCCCAATGTGCTGTCTCTGACCAGCTTAATTAATTACCATCGTCTGCCCAGAGAATAGACTGGCATTGATCAGATTAAGTCAGTCAGATAATGTGGGGAACAGGCAAGCTGGCCACCAGCCTGGCTCGGACCAGATTAACTGCCTAAAATAATTGGGGATTTGCAGAGGCTGCCCCTGAAGACTGACGCTAAATAGATTAAATAAATACACTGAAGACAGAGACTATTTCAGCCCGTTTTTCTCCTGCTACATCCATATTTCTGACATTGCTGTGGCTGTGGCAGGGGACCAGGCTTTCATCTGGTGCTAAGAGCTGAAAACGTTGACTAGCTGTAGGTTCCTAGGAAATTGCACCCTTCCTTTTCATTTTGGATGGGGGCATTTTGGCTGGTGGATTCAACCTCTGCATAGGTCAAACCATAGGCACCGCCGTTCGCCATACTCACTGAATAATGGCGGGCAGTCAGCAAGAGGGTGGCTGCTTGAAGCTGCAATAGAAGAAGAGTTGTGGATCCAGTCCTAAGTCACGTGTCCTTGCTGGAAAGAGAGTGTGGAAAATGTCTTTAGGATCAGGGGAACTCATAAAGCCTGTGAAGGAACAGGCTGTGGGCATCTGCAGCACAGGAGATTGTAGTTTTCCTACAAGTGCAAGCAGCCAATGTCAAGCCGAGAACCTTTGCTCTTTTGCATTATCTTAATATTTCATTTCAGGCATCTACCTGAATCTAAGGAAGTGGGACCCTACCGTGAAGGGCTGACACCAATCGCACTTAGGTTGGGCAATTCCTGACCTCGGCGCTCAGAGCAGTGATCGAGCGGATCCCAAGGACCTGAGGCAGACTGGGCTCCTGTGAAGTTCTTCTCGACTTACTGCCACCTCAATAAGATTATAAACTGGCCTCAAACCTGTGGCTACATCAGGTAGCTCTCTGTTGGCCTTTCTTCTTTACATTCACCTTCTGGCTCAGCAGCCTGCCCCTTGCTCCTGCACTTGTTAGCATGACTGCGCGTGTGCACTCAACAGACTGACTATGGATTACTCATATATACAGAAGGAATTGCCTTTGTCATTTGCTTTTTTAACATACGAAGGGGGAAAATTTGCTAAAGGGCCCCTAAAACACGTGCTTTGTAGGTGTTTGCCTCTTCCTCTACGTTTCCAGCTGAAATGAGTGCAAGACCACTCTCTTGGGTCACAAATAGGAAGGAGCATTTGCTAGCTTCTGTCATTCACCACACAATGGGACGGCCACTCGTGGGCTGGGACGTTCCCAAGACTGACAGGGAATGGAAAGGCACAGAACCGTGAAACAAGATGCTGTGGCCACGAGGCAACCTCTCCTTGGATTTCATCTACCACATGTCGAGACAGTAGAAAAGGAAGGTACAGGAATGTCAGGAACAGACGTTAGGGGCCCTTTAGCACATACCCGCAGCCAGTCCAGGGGACTGGTTTAATTTGTGCTAGAGGAGCGTGAAGTGTCCAGACAGGCACCTTGGATTGATTGAGAAAGCTAAAAAAGAAGGGAAATAGTGCTTTCATGAAGCAAGAGCGGACCTTTCCACACCTAGACGCAAGGCCTCGGATCTGCTCGACTTGGCGAGATGAACGACACCGTAACTAGTGGCTCGTAAAAGCAGAGCACCCAACTGTCAGGCCTCCAACCATCCGTTCATCCCACACCTCCTCTGTGACCATAATGCCTCTCTGAGGTGCTGCAGATGGAGTCCCACAGAGATGTATGCAACCTCTTGCCCGCTGGCCCATGCTGTAGCAGGATTTCCTGCTCAAGGGTACATTCAGCTCAAGACCTCTTAGTGCACACACACCAGTTTAAGTCCTATGTGTAGGAAAAGATCCTCTTAACAGGTGCCTGGAAGCCCTGAGACTGGTGTCATATGCAAATAAATCCTTGGACACCCAACAGAAGTGGAAGACCCACTGTGGGGAGCACTCAGATGCAGCTGCAAGCCTAAGTGGTAGCGTTCAGCATGGGTTTTATGACAGAGACCTTGTTTTCCTGAAATGCACCACTGAACTTTATTCTGTATTCCACATGTGACATTACTATTGATGTGAACGGGAGCTCCCTGCATTGAGCAAATGCAAAATATACAATGAAAATCCTAACTGTGAATAAGAGGTTCCTCACCGCTGATCAGAGAGAAGACTTTTGCCCACAATCTATAAACAACATGCTATAAATAATAACTAGACATCGTGAATTCAGCATGCTGGCATGAGGGCACCTATGTTCATTTTCCCCTCTCCCCCCCCCCCCTTTTGTTATTTCTGAAAAACATTTCTGAAACCATTCAGAAACGGTGGATGTGTTAGATCAGGTCATTCAGTCTTGAAATTCTCTGCAGTATACATCAGGACCGCCTTATAGAGACAGAAAGGAAATGAGCATGGAGGAGTGGAAACTATAGATCCACTCCTGGACTACAGTAACGGGCGGTGAGGTATGAACCCACAGCACTACACCACGGTGAAGACAGGAGATAAGAGTGCTCTGCAGATCCAGCTTGTTCTGAATCCAGCAAACTTGAGATGTGTCCTTGAGCAGGGAAGTTTAGGGAGACGCCTATAACATAGGATTCAAGGCTGATTCCTGGAACCCATGATCATTACAGGTGGTTGCCCTTTTCCCCATTTTCCACACAAACTCGGAAGCCAGTTCTACCCCCCCAAACCCAAAGAGAAAATCTGGTAGGAAAACAGAGGCCTTACATGTGGTTCATGCAGACACATTTAATCTTAGAGCTGCATGTTTTTTTCTGCAAGTGTCCTCCCCTCCCTTCTTTTGGCTGGTTTGCAGAGTTGATGAAATGGGGACAATAGGGACAATGTCTGCTCAGATCAATATATATATATATTTTTTTGTGTGCACGTGAGAGGTTTTTTTGGTAGAATCAGTGTTTGCAAGCAGCAGATAAAACTTTAGTGCTCAAGAACCACCGAGAGCCAGAAACAGCCACCTGGAAGCAAATCTCTGCTTAACAAGAGAAACATCAACTCATTGTTAGCCAGGTAGGGGAGATGGGAGAGAGAAAACCAGAGGGTCTCCTTGTTAGACTATAAATAGTTGTTTAGCCATTACACTAAAACAGTAACTCTCTTAGCACGAACCCTCGTAAAGATAAAATCTAAATTTAGTTTACTCTCCTTCTACAACACAAATGCATATGCAGCCGGGAAGCTACACAGCCCATCGATATTTTATTCACATCACACTCCAAGGAGCTCACTGACTGGAATTCAATAGAAACTGTTCTCTGTGTGAAAGTAATTTCAGAAAGTAATCTAGTTTATGGAAATGAAAGGCATCAAAACACAAAAAACACTGTTTCTGTACAAGTGCTTTGCTTCAAATATTTGACATGGAAATTTATATAATCCCTTTGGGGCACGCGGGTTTCACGAGTGTTAACATCTTTTGAAATGAATTTCACAAATGTTTATTTGGAAAACCAGGCAGACAAATAATTTAGAATATCAAGGCATCTTGTTGAATCAGCCCTAATGATACAGATCTCCGATGGCTGGGGAGGTTAAAAGGTATGCATTTTAATTGGCTGTGCGGAGGATGTCATTTTCAGGCACTGTGCGCCATGCCAAAGATCCTTCCAAATTCTAAGCTTTCCAATACCTTCGCCTCGACTTTCTCTGTTCCTTAAAGAATGAAATGCAAACATTTTTCACCTTTTATTTAAATGTGGGAGGAATGTATTAAATACAGAATGGGCTTGGGGGAAAGACCTTCGACTTTTACCATTTATCTTGCTTTGTACGTGACCTCCGGAATTGTAGCATCTGAGCGCCTCGCAAACATGAAAGAACATAGTCTTCCTGGCAGGCAGAGAAGGATTATTATTCCCATTTTGCAGAGAGATTAAGCAAGTTGTCTAAGGTCACATAGGAAATCTGTGGCAGAGGCAGTAACTGAACCCAAATCTCCGGAGTCCCAGCCCAGCATCGTACCTGAATAACCGTATTTCCATCACACGAGAGCACTGGTCCTGGTACAGCTCACTCTAGGGATGTTCTTTTCATAGTCGTGGCCTACTCCTCGATTAAATGAATCTGCATTCAGGGTAGGCTTTGGGGAGCATGAAGGAACTAACAGTTGAGCCACATAAGGGAAAAGGATAAATAATGAGGAGGAAAAGAAATATTGAAAGCTATCTATTTAGTGAACTCCACCCATCCTGCCCCAAAAGAGGCAAAATTCCTTCCAAAAAAAGTGTGTGATGGTGCAAATTAATGATTTTAAGCCTCAGGCAGAGGCCAAATTAAGGGTACCTGTATACCTGTACAGCCTCATTGATGGCATTTCCTAAATTAAGTGCCTAGCTTTGCAACCTTAACATTTTCTTGGCCATAACCTTTGCAACTCTATTTCTTAGGGGATTTTAGAAAGCAAATTGGATAAAAGCAGAAATCCTCTTGTGGAAACCCTACAAAGTTCTCAGCAGAGAAGTTAATATGCCCATTGCAGACCAGGCTCGCTTGTACTACAAGGAACGAGTGATAGCAGTGGCAGGTTGGTGTCTTGTATGTGAACCAATCACTAGGGAGGGACGAGTCGCTCTATGTTTCATAGCTATTTGCTGACAGAGGGTTGGCAAGACCCCCCAAACATTTTGCTTTCCATCAGGCTCTGGAGAAGTGTGTGCATTATTGATAACCATAACCAAGACTTTCTTCTCTGTTCCCACACCTTCTCCTTCTTCACTGGTCCATCAGAAATGCATCTATTTGTCCCATCCCTCCCTCAACCCTCCCTCTCCACAGCCTGCTTCTGCTACTCCTTTGCCCTTACCCCATCCCTAAAATCCATCTGCCCTACCTCTGCATTTCACCTCTCTGCAGTCCAGCAGTGAATCTTCTCCTTGATGCCTGGGTGATGGCTGTGGTAGAATGGAGAGCCAGAAGGAGTGAGGCTGGAGCAAGGTAAGTGCAAAGGGAGTCTTCAGCAAATTTAACCAGACAAGATGCTAACAACTTCGCAGTGAGCATGTGCCAAGCTCATAACTTGGCCAGACTTGGATCAGGTGGATCGCAACAAGGACTGATGCCAGGCAGATCTGCTTCACTGAAGTTCATTTCCACTTCAAAGCATCTAAGCAACACATAATGTGTACAAGCGCCCAAAGACACGAGGATCTACCCATGAACACAGCGGCGAGGTCGTTTTAATGATGGATTCTTTTTCTTAACGCTGATATGAGGAACAACCAGTTCCCTTTAGATGAAATGTATATACAAAAATGAGCAGCATGAAGCAGATGTACCACACAGACACATTTGGGAAAGCTAATGGCAAACACAATCTTATAATGGGAGGTATAAAAGGACCTTGGCTATATTTGGTGCTAGCAGTCCTGCCTACAATCCTGCTTGCAACAATTCTGACTGTGATGTAAAATACAACAAAGTTAATGAGGAGCAGCTTTACTGAAGTCAACGGGTTCACAGGCGGCCTAAGATCTGCTTCAGGCCCACACAACCCTGCATCAGGTTGGCCTGAAACAGGCTGGCCACCAATTTTCATTTTGCTGGTGTCCTCGGTTTCCCAGGGGCCATCGGCCCCACCCCCTCCATTTCCCTAGCCACTTATACCATGCTTGTCTCCATGGTGTGTGAGCACCCTCTGCACACTCCCCAGTTCTGAAACTCCCCTCTCATTAAAGAAGCCAGCAAGTAACACAAAGCCCTCTGTTTTGCTTCAGTCTCCTTTATGAATAGGAGAAAGGAACAATAAGCAGGGGAAGCAGGAAGAAAAGTGGTTCAATACAGGGCATCAGTTTTCCTGAGAGAAAGCTTTTCAAAGCCATGCCTGTTCCATCCTCTCCCCATCAGCCACCATCCTTTCACCCTGCCCTCTTGCAACCACAATGAAAGAGTCTTCCTAGCAATCGAATATTAAACTCAGATGATCAGTGCTGCCTAAGGGATTTGGATGTCCAGCTCCTGAAAAAAATCTCACCTCTTTACATTTACTTGTGTTTCCTTATTTAACTTTATGCTTAGCAAGGTTTTGCTAAAGGCTCTAGAAACAATCATTCAGTTGGCAGACTTCAATGTAGATTCATTAGCAGAGCAGCAATTTGTTAGGAGAAAAATGCATCCAAGAAGACCTCAGAGTCATTTCAGGTAAACTCGGAGGACTAGCATTATAAAGCGTGACAGCAAGCATAGTCATACACCAGTAAAGCAGCAAGCCGTTTACTGCTTTGACAAAAGGCTCCTGGAAGTCATGGGTATAATTATTATCACTGGCCCAGTAAGGGAAGCATGTCCCAACCATGATCCTTGAAGCCAACCATCTGGTAGGCTCATCCAAATTCCCTGAATACTGTGACTAGACTGAAGTAAGCATTGGATATGTTAGTGTTCAACAACACTTGTAGTGATGGAAGGGAAGACAATACAGGTAATCAAAGCTAAATTGAACCTCTGGAAATGGTGACTGCTTATACACGTGCTCAGAGGTGGGGCCTTTTAATTAGGACAGTTCCCGGAGAGCTTCTCTAATTAAAATGCCTCACCGTCACGTGTATGAAGCCTCTGCAGGTTTAAAAATGGCCATAGGATGCTTTATCTAAACCTTGTTGAATCAACTTTAGATAAAGCACCCCAAGCAGCCATTTTTAAATGACTGGGGGCTTATGCCACCCCGCATGGTGAGGCCACGCCGGAGGGTTCAATTCATCAAGTCTGCCCTTATGCGTCCTACTTAGAAAGCCAATGAGCACATGTAGTCTGTGAAGAAAGACCTCATATATAAGCACTGGGCTGTTGTTGGCTAGGTCCTCCCGAGGTGCTACTGCCATGGTAAAGACTCCCTGAGCAACCACCGTTCCAGTGCCCTGCTCCCAGGTCAGCGCCTGGCGTTGGTGCCCCTCTCGTCCTCCCTTAGTTATGCTATTGCCCAGGGAGACTATAAGATGCATAGTGAGCTGTGTAGAAGATGGCATGGAGGCAACGGCACTGATTATGTGGGCAACAGGGATGGGAACAGCAGTTGAATGAGGGTGGCTGGGTTTCCGTAGGGGAGACTGAAGGAAGGCAATGCAGAGTGCCCCGGAGAGTTGGAGAAGCACAAACAGGAGGCCCGGTTACAGGCTCATGTCAGCTGAGGTCTCCTAGGAGCAGTGTAACTTTCCCTCCAGCACATGAACAGCTTCAGCATTTAACACCCCCCCCCCACACACACACACATTCCCTACCCAAACAGTCAAACAAGCCCAGTTAAGCCTCAGACTGAGCATAACCTCACCTCGTTAGCAGTGGCTATTTCACATGAATGCAGCCCTGGGGCACCCGGTTGGAGCAAGCTGGGACACAAGCCCTGAAAACCATTTAGGATTATTCAAAAAGAAACAAACAAAAAGTCCCTTCTGCCAACAGAGAAGGAATTTTGCACAAATATCTGAGCCATCAAATGGGAGACGCTGGGGATATTTTTCTTCTCCCGTTACGCACAAAAGCAGAATCCCAGCAGTGACACTGAGGACCACCTCCTCCTTCAGCGAGGCTTCCCCTCCAGGGACCCAGTCTCATGGTAGCATGACGAAAAATCATTCTCTGCTCCCAGCTTATTTCCCTGCCCCTCGACTCAACCCATAAACCAAACATGCTCCATCTAAGACTTTGTTTCCCCCTTTCCTCCGGTTGGGAGGCTGTACCTCAGAGCCTCGCTGCTCTTAGGGTCAGGAACCTTCTTCTAATTCTCAGCTTAAATTTATTCATGGCCAATTCACACCCATTTGTTCTTGTGCCAACATTTTCCTTTAGCTAGCACTAACTCTTGTTCCTCCCTAGTGCTTATGCCCCGTGATGTATTTTTAGGCATCAATCATATCCCCTGTGAGCCAGGGCTTTGATAGACCAGTCCTCAGTCTTCCTTCATAAGACAGGCTCTCATTTCCTGATCATCCTAGGAGCCTTTCCCTGCACCTGCTTCAGTCTGAATTCAACTTTCTTGACTATGGAGGACCAGCGTTGTCTACAGCTGTATAAGGAAGATCCTATGAAAAATTATTACAAAAGTTAGAGAAAGTTCTACAGCAGGTGAGATAAGGGAGTATAGGGAGACCCCCCACTAGTCCTGGGAAGCCGCCACAATTTTGCACTTGCCTTGGCAAAATTACCCTGAACGTTTGTGAAATTCATCCTTTATTACTACAGGCAGCATTTTGCTTTGTATGATATGGGTTTATTCTGAAAGTGTTGTCCTCAGCTGGCTCAGATGGATGGTGACATGATCATGATAGTCTTTAAAAACATGTGATTCTTTGGAGCTGGGTTACCCAAGCAATTTGTATTTATATGGCTCCACTGGTAACAGAGACACTCCTTTCCTTTTGCAAACTCCCAACAAAGCAACCTGCAGTGGTTGGTAGGAGTCCAGGTTCTGCCTTTCTTTCTTGTGTGCATTTTCAGACTTAAAGGTAACAGTCTATTATTCTGTACATTTGTTTAAACTAACACCTGGAAACCAACACATGCCAACAGCCCAGCTCACCCAAGCAACCCTCCGGTATGCTCAGATCAACAGTCAACCCCAAGCAAGGAACAATCCTACAAAACCAACCCAGCCTGGTCAGTTCTGCAGTCATGGACGACCCCAGGATCTTGGCTGATTCAGTCTAGCCATCATAAACAACCAAAAAACACCCAACCAAGTTGCTCAGAATAAAGCTATATCACCAACCTAGCAAACTTGTGAGCCACCCAAAGGCTCATCTGTCCCTGGAGTGTGGAGAATACACAACTGAAACAGTCCCCCAGAAACAGAAGCTACATTTCTAAAAGTTAATGTTCCTCAGAGGAAAATTTCACCTTGTGCTCACTCCTCCTTTCCCTGCCAAGAATGGCTTGCCGCTTTTGTTCCCTCCGAATCCTTGACATTGGTCCATAAACATGCCTTCCTTCCGGCTTTGGTACTTCTTGTGGCCCACGTGGCCGAAGCATTTGCCAAATGGATTCTTTAATGGATTTATCATCCCATCACGCCCAGGAGGCAGGACAGGACTTTTTACAGATAGGGAGCTGAGCTCTAGAGAGGCCAAATGCCTTAAGATATCAGGCAGAAGGCCTGGGGTGAAACCTGGGATTGAATCTGAGCCTTTCACGCTCCAGCCATTGGGACATCCTTCTACGCTATGAAATCTCTTGCTGCAGAGTCAGACCCATTCTCAGCGCACTGCCAATTGCCAGCGCTTCTCTCTCATGGGAGAACATTCACAAGAACAAAATAGTCTTTCTAGAAGTTCACTCAATAGCCCCGTTGCTCACAAGACAACACCCATTAATTAATGAACTCCACTTTCATTGTTGACATTGGGTCTCGTTGCTACTTGTGTACACTCATGGAATTCAAAGGGATTTTCCCTTCCAATCTATATATTGGAGCCTGTTTGATATCACTCTTGTATTTCAAATCAATGCTGCTTAATTCCTTATCATGTGCGGAAAGTTTTTGTCAACAGTACTGAAAAGATGGTACCTGCAAGCTTTTCCTTCTGTGAATATGTGTGCACACAAACTATCACGACCGGCATCAAGTGGGTTGGTTGTGAAATCATTTTGTTCTAAACTGTAATCAACTATATTGGATGCTGAAAAGCGTATGAAAAATGGGGCTTGAGGCCTCTTGTTTCTATAAAAAGACTACTTTCCATGGCATTTATTAATATTAATATGGAATGCTAGTCAAGAACAATACATAACAATAATGAGAATCTCAAAATCCCATCACATTTGACACTGTCATATCACCAGCTTAAGGATTAGCAGGTGAACTTTAGAGTTAAACGTATTGCTTCCCCATAATAATACTAATGATAATAAAAATAAGAGTAATAAAATCAGAAAGACTTCCTCCCCCCTCCCCACCCCCAGCTCTTAGAGCATTATGCGTTTTTGATGGATTTCTTCTTATTCTGGAGTGCACAGGAGCTTTGCGTTAAATGCGTGATTTGGATGGTGAGGTTAAAAGCTAACCTGAGAAGGAGGGAGGCTTGCTTATCTGCTTTCGTTCCTGCCGAAGACTTACTTAGCCTAGGCTTTCTTTCACACTAACCCCTGACACTGACAGTCAAAGGCCTATCCACTAATACCCTCATTTTAGCAGGTATTATTTTATATGCGTGTATGATATATATATATTTCAGAAGGTTTATATGGGGGGGGGTGTGCACGCGTTTGTGCATTCCAAAAGGTTTATATAAATATACATATGCACACACACACGTGTGTAATATATATAAACACGTGTGTGTGTGTGTGTGCGCACGTGAGAGAGAGAGAACCCCCTCCCCACCCTGCAGAGTTTCATTTTAAACAATAAAGTTACTCCAGGTGTCAGTTTTCACTCCTATTTCTAAATGCATCTGGATAAAAAAAAAAAAATTCTGCAAATTTCATTGAAAATCCAAGCTATTGAGATCTAATCACTGCTTAAGCTGAGGCTTTATTCAAATCTGGATCACCAATAGGGCTTGAGATGTAAATGAAGTGCAAAGAGAAATAAAGCAAAAAGGGGGAAAAAAAAATCTATGATAGCCTCGTCCTTCAGCCATTAGATTCGCAGGCCCTTATCAGCCAATTAATGCATACTAAAACTTTAGTGGCAGCATCAGTTTAACAGACCTAATAGCTGCAGCAAGCTCCGAGCATTAGCCAAACAAAACATACTTTCAGCAGCCTTAATATGAGACTGAAAAAGGTCAAAATAGACAGGCTTTACTGAATAAATCCCAAAGATCTATTCTAATTTCCACTCAAGGATCATTTAAGCAGTTCTTGGATGCTCTTTAGGATACTTTGATCCACGCCTAGTTTCATTAAAACTTTGTGGCTTGGTATTTTTAAACCAGATAGCTTCGCTAAACTAGTTCTCCAAATGTTAGCTAAGCCGCTATGCATAAAACTACTTTCCTGTCACGGTGTCTTTTAATATCACCTAAATACAGGCTGTTGCAATTTTGAAAATGAACCTTCTCTACATGCACTAAAGCTTGGGAATTTTTGCCTTTGTATTTGAAGGAGGTCTTGGGTTATACAGGAAAGGTGCTGTCTTCCTCCCGCCCTTTCCCCCTTGAAACCTAAAACTAAAATTATCTGCTGTACCTTATTTGTTCTGGAAGCAAGTTACACAGTACTTTTAACAACTGAAGTTTCCAATTGCAGGATTAGGAGCTGAGAAAACTGCCTGAAAACCCCCCTGAATGGCGTTTTAAATCCAGTTTCATGATGACAAGATGACCGCTCTCAAACCCCGGCAAAAACAAATGGTGTTTCCCATTTCTAGAGCACGCCATGGTGACAAACCTCGTCTCACTGCCACGAAGGAAACCTTCTTGCCAGGAACCATCCTGTGCTCCCCTGGAAACAACGTTCGGCTCGGGGATAAGGCAACAATTTTCTCTCTTTCTCTGAGAGCTTGCAGGAGGCTTTATGTCTTCAGGGCTTTTGTGGTCAGTTTGCATGACAGCAGTTAAGAGAATTACAGCAAGAGGGTTTCCAAAGAGGCCAGGCTTAGTTTGCAAGGGGAAAAAAAATAAACAAAGGATTAAAATGTTTTAAAAATTGGGGGTGGAATTTCCAAAGGTGCTCACAGCCTTCCCCGGCTCCTTTCGGCCTTCAGGGTAACACTCCCACCGACCTGAGCAGGGGGAGAGCCCAGCCGACGCAGAGTGCTGTTGAAAACCTCCATCTCATGCCAGACAAGGCAGCATAAGATATAAGTGCCCCAGGCGGGCAGGCTGGGGTGTCACTTCTGGACCAGATGTGCAACTGCCACCCAAAAGCAAACCTGCGATCCAAGGAGCTGCATTAAAACAGCTTGCTTATTGGTATAAAACTCTTTTCATTAGAGATTTTTTTTTTAATTAATATATCTCATGTTCCAGGTCAAACCAGTTCCAAATCCTACCGATTGAGCAGAACTCAATCGTTGCAAAAACCGTCTCGATTGAGCAGGCAGAGCTCAATCATTGCAAGCACCCGGTATGGCGCTCGCATGTTTTTACGCTGTTGTTATACTGGTAAAAGCCCTCGTGTGGATGCGTGGAAGGTGGAGGGGGAAGACTTACACCAATAATGATTCTCTTCTTGATTCTCATCTTCGTACTGATCTAAGCAAGCCCACATCACGGATGCTCACGTTCATAGCAAGCTGCAGCTACAACCGTATGTCAACAAGCCCTTCACCCAACTCCAACGCTTTAGCCGCAAGATAATTCTTCCTCTCGACATGGGAAGAGATAAAGGAAAGTGGAGACACCACTGTCGTGAGCTTTTCCAGATCCAGAAGGTGTGAGGTATTTGTGGGGCTGGGAAAACTCGGTTTAGTTGGCTACCTCCAGCAAAGCCGGCTTTTGATTATGTTGATGAGAAAGACTGTAAACAAGACAACCATTCTTTGTTAATTAATTCCCTTCAAAGCTCTCTCCAAAAAAAATCTTTAATTACACAGTTTGAAAAGCAGCGGTTACCCGATCAGCGCTATCAGCCCCACTCGCTTTTCGCTGTACGCTGCCACCTGACAGAAACATTTTGTTGTTTTCCCTGCTTCACACACCTAAGATGGGCTTGCATTAAATCCCGTCAACTCAACGCCTGACCAAAGTGCTCTGATGTCAGGTATAAAGAATGCCACCTACAGCTTAATGTCTGGAGGAAAAAAAATCCTGAGTGCTGCTAACAATGAACGGTTTTGTCTCCTTAATGCCCAGTATGCGATCGAGTGGAAATGCTACTTCCATCCTTAATCTACAAATGAAATTAAAGTTGTTGAAAGACACATGATAAAGCGGGATCCTTTGTTTCATCGGGAAGAGGGATAAATTGAAACCACTAAATATTTTAGCAGATTTACTGAGTTTCCAATTAAACCTGGAATTATGACAGAGCTTGCATCTCGCACACATGCGCGTGTGCACCCACACATGCCCATTTGCTGTTGGAATATAATAAGTTAAACTCGAAGCCCACCCCCCCCAACAGGAGGAGGAAGATGAAAGGAGTGGGTTTTATGAGCTTTAGAATTAGCAGCAGGCCAGCCTTCGGGAACAGGGGCAGCGTTCGGCCCAGGCACGTGGGGATCCCTAGGTCCAAGCAGGTAGAAGCAGACAGTGCTGGCGTGGTCGCAGTCTATCACTGGGGGAGGAAGTAGATCTGCTAGGCAAGAGCACCCTCTGCCAGCTGGCATGAAGGTCTGGCTGTAGTAACATGCACCCCCCTCCTCCCCTTGATGGAGGAAAGTCACAGGAAGCAGCTTACAAAAGAGAGATGAGGTGGGGACAAAAATCGGGAACAAGATTATAGATCAGTGACCGAAACGTGGGAGCGGTGGAACAGCGCGGAGCCCTGTTGCATGCTTCCTTGCCGTGCCTGGGTTTTCACCCTTCTCACTGCAGATGCCCCATGTTGTTCTGCACAGACTGATCCCTGCAAGACGAGTGGAAAAAAAAAAACCACCCAGCAGCCCCTCACTCCAAGATTTCAGGCATGTGGCTATCTATATCTTGGCCCTAAAGAGAGATGTACCCATGAGAGAGACCAGGCAGAGTCTGCGCACCTCTCAAATTGTAACACGCTGCAAGGTTAGGAAATGGTTGAGAGATCAAGAGCCATTAGCTGGATGGTGGCATCACTAGTCAAGTCCCAGCATTCAGAATAAGGCACGGGACACGGGCGTGGGAATCCTGGGCTGATCCCGTCAGCCCTGCGGCGGGTCGCATGGTTGAGAAGCCCAGGCTGACCCTGCTCCCATTTGAAACCAAGGAGAAGCTCCGTTGCGGGATGGAGATGGAGCTCAACCTTTCACTGACCGCTATGGGACAGGCGAGCAATCTGTCACCTCAGTTTCAACAGGGCCTGGATCCCCTTGGCCTTGTTTCTCAACTTAAAAGCCTGAAACCTGGAAATGTTGCTTGCGAGGTCAAACGAGTGGGCATTGCTCTTGGGTGTTGTTCACCGTGCCTTAAACTGGAAGAATTATGGGGGATGAGGAATTATGGGGAACCTAGAAGACTGCACGCTGCGGAGGAGGAACACGGCCCACGGGTACGGGAGGGAAAGCACAGCATTGCTTCTCATTCAGCTCCCACCTCCCCTGCAATCACCCAAAGATGCGCCATTTCCTCGACACTGCTGTGGCTGACTGGACTCTCCGGGGGCCTGACTGGACCTTCCTAAACTCCCTTGTTCACTCTGTGCCTTGTGGCACAAACTCAGGATGAAATTCATCCATGCAACGAA